CAGAAGGTGTCACGAAGGAGTATGATAAGACAAATAGAACACAAAAGAATTAATTAAAATAGATTTATTAGATAGTAAAATCTACTTTAATTAATTCTGTTATACTCTATTTGTCTTAACAGAAGACGTCAGGATACATACATTTAGTAAGAGAAAAAATAATCATATACAAAGCCAATTCCTTTACGAAAAAGGTGATTTACGAATTGTTGGGAATATTCTTGACTGTTTATTGGTGAACACACTAATAATATGATTTTCAGTCAACAATATGAAATTGTCGCTGGACAATCAACAGCTGCACTAATACGTGTGCCAAGCATTTAATGACAGGCAACAGGTTGATGTAATATACATCGATCTTTCTAAAGCTTTTGATAGAATAAATCGTCAAGCATTAACAACAAACGTCGTAGTTTTTGGTTTGTATGAAAATCTGGTCATGTTTGTTTGTTTGTTTGTATATTCGTATCTATGGATAGAACAGAATGTATTGTCCACAATTGATTTTCCTCTTACATCTTTCTGTAACATACAGGGTTCCTCAGGGCTCGGTTTGGGACTGATCCTTTTCAACTTATTTATCAATGATATTGTTGATGACGTGTCTGGTCTGTGTCCGTTGTATGCGGAGCTCTTTCTTTGAATTACATCTTCGGAAAACATTCTCCATCTGCAGAAAAATTTCTTAAAATTCTTCGATTGGTGTCTCAATAATGGTTTTGATATGAATACGGACAAATGCCACGTTTTCACACATATATACAAATAAAGTGCACGCTATAAACTACGGTTACAGTATTATCGGTATTCAGCTGAAAATACCTAAAGTTATCAAAAACTTGGGTGTTAACGTTAAATCTACTCGTGGGCTAATATTTTCCGGTCATTACAACAATTTGATAATTTCACTTGGTTTCATAATAAGAAATGCGCGCCAATCTCAACAGCTGGCTATTATGTCGAGGTTATGTCAGATCTAAACTCGAATACGCAAGCATTGTGGGATTACCTTATCAACGGAAGTACTTAGATTTGGTAGAACAATCCAAACAAAATTTTTAAACCTATCCACCACGGAATGCTCGACAAGAGTTCTTACTGTGATATTTCTGTATAAAACATATATCCATAGACGATTAATTCCCTTTGGTTGTTGAAGAAATTGTCTTTCCATTGTTCGATAAATAACAGGAACCATGTCTTCTACTTACCCACGCCTAAAATTGATATGTCTAAACATTGACCTCTATATGTCTGTATTTCTGCAAAATAAGTGACAAAAAATTACAATTTTTAATCTTTTCGTAGCCTAATTTTTTATCAGAATATGTATTTCTCGATATTTGTCTCTGAGAAGGTGAACAATAGTAATAATAATGAAAATATTTGGGATGGAGTGGAAATAGTTAAGAGCGGTAAAATTTGAGGAGGATGTAAGGAAGAAAAGAGAGTGTAAGATTTTGTAAGTGTATGAAAAAGGAAAAAAGGTCGAAATGGTAGGTTGAAAGAGAGAAACTAGTTGAAATTTTGGTGAGCAATATAGCAAAGTTTATATAGAATTTGTGGTCATGATAGAGAGACGATTCAACATGTATTGAGGGACTGTGAAGGTATGATAGAAATAGAGGAAAGTAGAGAAGAAATTCTAAACGAAAAGGTAGAGAGATAAGTTGGATCAAAGGCAAGAAAAAGAGTAAACTAAATAAATGTATATAGGTATATATTGTTTAATTATATGTAATAGTATTATGTAAATATTTACTATGGAATCCCAAGAAAGCAAAATAGAATAAAGATTTAAATACAACTTGAGAACGGATAGAGATACTTAAATTCTGTAAACGCCGTTGTTTTTAAATGGAACCGGAAACCTTAATTTAGTACATTGCAAAATTTTTTAGTTCCTGAGCGTAAGCTAAGAAAATGTAGAAATCGAGTCCATCGGACGAAAGGTCACTATGTTTTCTCGACTTTTCATGACCCCAAGAGTACGAAAAAAGTAGTCTCCCGTTTCCGTCTGTCTGTCTGTCTATCGTCTGTGTCAATTTTTATTAGACACGTAATCTCCGAAACTACTGGACCGATTCTTATCAAATTTTGTATGAATTTTAGGAATATCGTGTAGATGGAAAAACTGTAACGAAAATTTTTCTAATCATCTCCACCGCCAATGTGATAACATCTCCTCACAATTTTTCATAGTAAATAGGATTTAAGTTTTATAAAATAACCTAACTCTGTACTTGTTGTTTGTGAATCTATTTTCAGATTTTCCCCGGGGCACCCCCCGAGGTTTATATGCGAAGTTTGCACAAGGTTATTCCTTGACATACAGCGTAGTGTTCCCTTTCGGATGCAAATATTGCGCGATTACTGCTTTTATCTATTGTATTTTTTTTATTGATCAAATCTCAAATACGGTATCCCCAATGTTTTATTCTTAGTATTGTTAATCAGTTTCCTATCATGGGTTGACGACAGGACACTTTAAACCAACTATAAACAAGTGTGTTTTCGTAACATAATACGCTAGAAGCAGTGGCGGGTATAAATTTTTTTAATTTTTCAAAAAACCTATTTGTTCGACTGTAATTTAAAGGCGATATATTGTTTAACGGATTTTGAAACATAGTTAAGTTGCGATTACAATGATATACATACTTAGACATTTATTTCGTTTTCAATTAATAAAAACATTAAATTTATAAACATATAAAAATTAAAATTGTGATGTCCATTCCTGCCTCTGTATGAGGCAGGAATGGACATCACAGCAGCATTGTAGCAGATGTTCTCCAAAAACAGTGGACTGTTAACTTCAAGGATTTGGCAAGTTCAAATATTCAGCGATCTTTCGTAGTATGCTGACAATAATATTGATGCCAACGCTTTGTCTAGTACATTTTCCACTTCTGTGTCCAAGAAAGAGATGAATATTTTTATAAGAATTCAATAAGATAAGATTTACACTAGGAAATGTAACCTTTGCACACTATTTTTGTATTTGACATTTTAGTCAGAATGAAGTACCTCGTATCTTTAATATTTTTCAGTTGAAGAAAATTATTTCTTCTCATCACCCGCAGCACTAATTCGATCAAAAATATCACGCGTAGTGCTGAAAAAATACCTATTCTGTCCCGATATCTAACACACCTTCATTCTTCAAAACTGCAAAATCAAAATCGATAACTAAAAAGACCAAATGTGCAAATAATGCATGTTATAGTACGATTCCTAACGTCTAGTGTATGTAGTTTTAAGAATGACTTCAATAATCACAATAACTATATACCTTTTCTAGATATGGTTACAAAAAATGTCGTTGGAAAAACACTACTTAATAAGGCGAAATTTTAAAAATGAAAGAAGAAAAAATGTCGTATGAACTTATAAGCCAACCAAAAAATAGGAAATAGTTTGAAATAGATACAGTAATATGTTGCAGACCAGAAATATTTGTTGAAGACTGTGGTTTCTAGTCCATCATAAATTTTTACTACAAAAATAATGGAGAAGAAACTATAAAAAAATATACACACCCTTGAAAAACAGTCCAAACAACACCTGCATTTTGTGTATTCCTGATAAGACAAACTACGTTTAAGTGATAATTTTAGAAGCAACTGAACAAAATTTCGAAATTACCCTAACTAAAATAATAATTTAATTTACAAAAAATACAGGAAAAGTGGTTTCCAAAAAAAGTAGACAGTATTTATTAATATGTAATCAAAATAGGTCAGATTTTAGCAGTTGTTGTTTTATCTTAAAATATTTCGGCCTGATCTCAGGGTTCATACTAGTTTAATCACATCGATTTATTTACGTTTTTAGAGAATTGAGCTTATAATCTGCTTAATTATTGAAATACGTGTAAGTAGTTGTAGTAAACCCAACTTTTATGGAAAACATTCAATTACCAATTACACAAACAGTCTTATTTGCTAATAGCCTTAACTAAGAATGTGTCCAAAAATCTACAAAAGAAAAATACTATTTTTTCATAAAACACAAATAAGAGTAGATTTTAGGGCATATTTTTTATAAACATTCATTTAACAATTTTTTTGAGATAACGTTCTGAAATTTCTGAAAGGGATAAACAGGCAACTTTTAATCGATGTTGCAGGTTCTAAGACAAATTTTACGTTTTGTAATTATCCACCTACCAATAAAGCTAAAAATATGGGTAAACTATTAAACCACATATAAAGCAGCAGGTCACAATATAAATTTAAAGTGAGATTTACCCAGCAATATTTTGTGATGGCATCATCAAATTTTAGTGCAAATGAACAAACAAACTTGCCATATATAAGATAATCTTGAAGGGCACCTAAAATACCTTATTATAGTAACTGGTCGGTAATTCCGGAGATTATCTGATAAATAAAACAAATATTAGGACAAACTGTATCAAAAGAACTACATTATTATGCTTTTCTAGCTTATACTCTAGAAGTAAAACATTCTTATTTATTTCATTTCGTCAAGACATATTTTTTTATCATTAGTATATATACGGATTCCTGTCTACATCTTTTTTTTGCCATTTGCCGCATAAAGCCTGTTTCATATGTCGTTGGCGGAACGGGGTGCACCTCAACAAACAAAAAACTTACTTTGAAAACCACATGAACGTATCAGGCAACCTTTTCAGGCGTGAAAATCTCGTCTGCTCAAATCCCATATCAAAAGTTTTGTTTGATTCTAATTAAAAACTCAAAATGAGTTTCAGCTTGTTGGAATGTCAGGTTCTTGAACGTTAACATGAGCATGTTGTTATCATAACTAACAGCTAACAACTTTTCTTTAAGCATTTATTCTATTTACATTTATTTACGTTGATTCTATGGTAGTTTAAAATTGTTATTTATATACAAAACTATCTGTGTCGCCAGTAGAAGCTATACTTTTTTCGATCGCACGTGATACGACAAATGTATTACACTCCACCACAGCTTTCCTAACGTGACATCTCATTTCCTTTTCAGATGCACCAAAGAAAGCCTATCTTATGATCGACAACCGAATTCTAGACCCCGGCAATCCGTTCATCCCTGTTAAAGAGAACGCCGATTTGACTGTGGCCTGCGTGGTGGACGAAGGCAACCCAAAACCGTCGCTGTCCTGGGAACTGAACTTAGGTTCGCTGGCTTTATTGGATGCCCCAGAGGTGCCTCTTGACGTTCTCAACATTACCGAAACAATTCGGGATCAAAAAGTTGGTGCGCGAAACGATGCGAGACTGGCAAGGGTGCAAAGAGCTCACCATAATGCCACTTTGACCTGTTACGTACACCACATCGCGCTTGAACAGCCACTCAACGCTTCAGTTCTCTTGAATGTCCAATGTGAGTACTTATGTTCAGTTTAAATGAGGTTTCAAACGCAAATCTCAAACTATTCGGAAAATTTAATTTATCTCTAGAAAGTTAGAATTTATACTGTTAATCCGACTTGATGAGAGGGAACTAAAATTTTTCTCCGGGAGTAAGGAATACAGGCTAAAATATAAATGGGATAGTGTCGCTAGAGAGGATTGAGATGAGATCCTTTGATTTAGTATCCTTTCTTTTAACGAAGCTTTCCCATTACGAATCAATATTGCGTAGGTTGTTGTTCTTGGAATGTGTTTTCCAAGCAACGACACAAAAGGCATAGGGAAAATTAAATTACGTTTTCGAACCAATCGAAGAAATTTTTACGAATTTTTAATGTCCATATGATTAAAAACACGATTCTTAAACATATAATGTTGTTGTTTACGTAAAATCGAGTAAGAGGAGAAGAAAATATTTATTTCGTCTCTTATTATTTTCTGCGATCTAAAATAAAAGAAGGATCAGAATAGCTCATGCAAACAAGTGAAAGGTCGAAACGTTTAGAGATGTTTTTAATGTTCTGTCTTGCAAACAAAAACATTTTCCCACAGATTATAGCTATAACTTCAAAGTAACTTGCATATGTTGGGCAAATAAGACGTTAAATCTACACAATTAAAAAAAAATCAGTTATGTCATAGTTTAAATCCTTATTGAAAATTTCACAAGCACGAACCTAACAGCATTAAAATAATATAGGCAGAAATGTATACTAATTAATACCATGTCAAACGTATCATATAACTTTTTACAATATTGTAATATTAATTTAATGAAAAAGTTAAAAAATTTCACCTCCCGCATAATAAATCTGGCATGCAAACAACACGTAAGTGGAATATAGCTTCAATCATCAACGGCACAATTAAAGTAGAAAAAAATGTTGCAAATAACGTGCAATTCTTTAAATAAGTATTTAAATTTTGAATCTAGGTTTATCTTAGATATAAAAATTCATGTCGTTCATAACACCAACTTTCAACATATTCACTTTTTCACGTTAGATATTACTGTTCTGCATTTAACTTGACATTGACAGGCGCGCGGTGTATGCACCCCACATGCACATGCGTTTTTAAGCCTACCCAGATTAAAAATTTAAAGAATCGCACGTTAGTAATCCTTCAGAGACTGAGCTTCAAGTGCGACCGCTCCTCCACAGACTTTAAGTAGTGCTTTAAATGAAGCAAGGAGATTAAGAAGGGTCCTGGACAGTAACCTGTCGTTTCTGTGGTTACGCCTATCAGATCGAACAAAATTGTACTTAATTCGTAAGATCTGGAACTAGAAAGCTTTAATATTACTACGAACATTTCCCATAAGGCATTGTTACAATAAATTGTTAAGTTGTTTATCATTAAAGTGCTTTATTTTCAGATTACTAATAATTCAAGTGCTAGATTTATTTGGGTATTTTATGTAGACAATTTGAGTCACTGACTTGGCAACATTTTGTTAATATATTATTACATACAAAAATTGGTCGAAGATTATTATAGCTTCTAAAAATTATAAATTTTAAATTTGACAACTGTATCTTCTGTAAGATGACTCCATAAGCTAAGATTAATAGATGTGACGACTGTTACAGTATCAGAAAAGAAGCATTGTACCCAGATATTTCTAATGAGTTTTTACATATACAAATTTTAGAGATGAAGTCAAGGACACGTATGTAAATTTGAATAGGTACAGGGTTTTTTGAGTCACCTTGTATAAGCAATTCTAAAAAATATGAAAACATTAATAATATGTGTAAAATATGAGTATAGACTCTTAATATTGCGCATGTTTTAGATGCATTCGATAAAATTTTAGATGACGTCCAACGTTGTTTATTTAATTTACCATTCATCCGATAACCTTAAGAGGTTCGCAAAATTTCAGAGCATTCGGTTTTGCCATTTCAAAGTTAAATTGCAAAATGTCGTCACACAATATTGATTTTTTTATAAAAATCTGCATGTTTAAGGTAAAAAATCAAGAACCTTTTCATAAACCACTCCTGTAGGAATATGTAATTTTATAAAATTGAAATAACATTTATTCGGCAAAATTGTAAGATGATTTACTATTGTAAATTTTAGAGATGACGTCATCCCGTTGTTGGTGGGGATAATTAGCCAAATTTTACTTGGCGTTTTACCATCTAGGTATATCATATTCCTAACATACATGTAAAACTTGAAAACAATTTGAGATGTACAACTCTTCCACTGATGCCAAAAAATTCTCAATACACGTTTAGTGCAGATAACAAAGAAACACATTTTTGAACTTTAGAGGCCTTCACACAATAAAATTGTGTTGTTAGAATACATTGCAAAAATTCGAATAGATTTTGTAAGTATTATCAAATTAAATTAGTAATGAGTTTATTGTCCAACGGTTCAAAGTAATATGTATATTGATTTTTAGAAAATTGGTCTAAGGTTGGTTAGACAGAACTTCCCTCACCCTTATTTTCCGCTTCCTTAAAAAATATGATTTTTTTATCACTTCTATAAATTAGAAAAATAATAAATAGTAAATAAGTCGTGGTTTAAGAAAAAAGAGCAAATCCTGCCCATGTGAGCTTCAAACGTCGGACCTTAGGGTTACAAGGTAGACACACCGCCTCATGAGCTATTCTGTAACGATTTACCTGCCGCTCAGACTAGTTTAAAACATTACTATAGAATTTTGATTTTTTTTCGAAAATCTGCCAAAGGTAAACAATTAATGCGGATTCATAAATCACAAGTGTAAGAGTATATGTTATTTTAAAAAAATTTATATGACGCTTATTAACAAATATATGGGGGACTTTCAAACAAAAGATTTGTATTAAATGTTGTTTTCCTGTATAAACTCTTATTTCAACACACGCAGCCGATTTTTTTATAAAAATTGATCCACTGAAATCTTTAACTCCCGCATTCAGCCAAAATCTTCTTTAGTTTTTTTTTTTATATATACTTAAATAATAGTTCGTGGCAGCTAAATTCACAATTTACGGAAGCAGTCCAATTTCTATCACTTACATATTTATATTCTTCTCCTGTCAAAAAACTTTCTGAGCCTTATCTATTTCATCAATGTCGTGTACATACCAGAAATTACCCTTTTTTAATTATGTCTGTATATCAGCAATGATCCTTCTATATCCCTAAGGTAATCAAATTTGACTGGTAAATTTTTTGTACCTATTTATGATTTTTGTTTAGGTGTACGCGGTGACTTCGTGATACTTTGGTTTTCTCATATCCACTTCATTGTGGAAAGTATTCCAGACGCTACCTTCTGATATGTCTAGTTCATATACGATGAAAACAATTTCATTCGACTGTTGTCAAGATCTAGAAACTAGAACTTTTTATTATTTCTGCAAGCCTTAGAAGTGTTAACCCATCTTCGACATTTTCTTTATTCTATTTAAACTGTTTAAAGGAAAATTTATCTTGATAAAGCGGCGAGCTATTTTCACTATTCATTGTAACCATTCGGTGGTTTCTTTGCACAAAATTTTATCACATTTCGATATTCCAGTTTAGATTTCCTCATTTCATAGAAATGAAAATGTATTGCGGAAAATGAAACTACGTAGTTGACAGTAAAGGTTGAAGTTTGTACCTCGCCAGTTTCACACTTAGGTAGATTATTATCTGAAGTCCCCTCGTCAAATACGTATATATATAGATATCAGTACATCTATTGACTGATTCTTTGTTCTTTAGTTGAATATCTGTATTCAATTTATTCAAAATACATTCTAAACTTAGAACCAATTGCAAGAGAGTAGCTACAAGGTGATTATAAAAGATCGAAGATTAAGTAGGCTTTAGAAAGTATTGAATTTTGCCGCCTCGTTGTAATGGTGGCCTGTTGCAAATGCATAGAAATAGAGTGGGTAGATAGAATTATAATTTCAAGGATTATTTGGTCCCAAGGACACCTAGGGCGTGCTCAGCCGAACTAGGAACACTGTACCTCCGTCACATTTTCACTGTTAGTATTGAGGTTAATATTTACCAGCGAATGGTTGTTAAGTTTCTGTTGAATCACGTACTTTTTTAATTTTCCTCGTAAAATTGTGTTTTCCTAGCACTGCTTAGGAGATCTTAAAAAAATGATGGGTTCAAACCCCCTTATTGTATTTTGTTGGGGCTTATCATTCTATCCCCATTCTATGCACAAATGTCGATCACAACCAATGGTCGAATCAATGGAATTGATCCATAGACATCCAACGTATAATACCAAACATGAAGGTCGAGCGTTTACATGAACAATAATTGTTCTAAATTGCAGCACGTTACCGGACCATAATTAAAATATGGTTGCAAGGTACTATATTTAGCACTGGTAACGAAATCCATCCCTTCACAAAAGTCATAGAAAACATTTAAGTCAAGGTTTATATTGAATGCAGAATCTATAGTGTTTGCCAAAATTAAAAAACCACCAGCACTCCATTCTACATTGAAAATAACACCGACGACACCGCAGTATTTGATTTAAAATTTAACATAGGAAAAAAGTGGCGATGGCGGACACAATGGAAAATTTTCGAAGTGTTTTAACGTTTCAAGACGCTTTAAAGAGCAATAATAAATTCAAATTCTACAAACGTTAAAATAATTGGATTATAATTTGTTTGTACTTGCTTATTTCCTGGTGACAACTTGACGTTCGTTGAAGATTCAACGGTATGAACATTAGGCATGCCGATGATTTTCTAAATTTGTTTGTAAATATTTAGTTAATTATTTTTGAGTAACATCTGGATACGTAATTTTTCTGGAAATAGATTCATCTGTGTCTCTTATTGTATTTTTCAAGAAATTAATTTTAAATTGTTAATTCTTATTTTCAGAAATCTGGATGTCTAGGCTAAAATAAATTAAATAACATTTACTATGCAAAATTTTAAGATAACGTCATCAAATTGTTGGTGGAAATGACAAGACAAATTTTGGTTTGGCATTTAC